GGTAGGGAAGACCATTTGGTCAAAAGGGCCGAAAGGTGGTGGTTTAGCATCGGAAGATAGTTAGCTGCGTAAAGGTCTGATAACTTAGGGGTCAGTTTGATTCCCAAAAAAGGGATATGACACTGTGACCAAGGAAATGGTAAAATCTGCTTTAGATGTGTCAACTCTACCGGGGGGAGAGAGATGTTGAGTGCTGTTGATTTATGGGGGTTTATTACTAGTCCAGACAGCGAACCAAACGCTTCGAGAAGCCGGAGTAGGGATGGGGAGGAGGTCAATGGAGATGTAAGAAAAGCAAGACGTCATCCGCGAAGAGACATAGTTTATGATGCATGCCTCCTATCTCCAGTCCTCTGATATCCGGATTAGCTCTGATTAAGAGGGCAAGAGGCTCTATAGCCAGAGCAAAGAGCAAAGGGGACAGAGGGCAGCCCTGTCTTGTGCCCCTGGAGATTGGGAACTGAGCTGACCTATGCCCCAGATATCTAATTCTGGCCGAAGGCTCTCTATACAGCGAGAAGACCCAGGTTAAAAAATGTGGGCCGAAACCCCAACGGTGCAATATATATCTGAGGTAAGGCCATGAGACTGTATCGAACGCTTTCCGGATATCCAGGGACAGGAAGCAGGCTGGGATATTACGAGACCTGGCTAAATTAGCCAATAGAGATGCACGCCTAATATTATCCCCCGCTTGCCTAGTTGGGATAAAGTCCACTTGGTCGTTATGTATTAGAGAGCCAATACACAGGTTAAGACGGGAAGAGAGGATTTTGGCTAACAGTTTGATGTCAATGTTGAGAAGAGAAATTGGCTATAATTGGACCACTGCGTGTCATCAGAATTCGGCTTTGGGATCATTGATATGTTCACTTGTACTGTTTCATGGTTGAAGGTTTGGCCAGACAGTAAGGCATTAAAAGCATTAGTGAGGATAGGTGTAAGGAGATGAGCAAATTTTTTATAATAAGTGGCTGAGAAGCCATCTGGTTCTGGGCGTTTACGTAGTTTCAGATTTTTAATAGCGTCTAAGGTTTCGGCTGGGGAGATGGGTCGCTCAAGTGCCACTAACTGGCACTCCGAAAGTTTCGGGAAGGAAATGGAAGTTAAAAGGGCCTCTGCTTGTGCTGGGTCAAAAGGTGTGGAAGAGGAGTAAAGCTGTGACAGGTGTTTATGGAAAGTCTGTAGAATGAGTTCTGGGTTGCTAGTGAGGTTGCCAGAAGAGGTGCGTATCCGGATAGGTTTAGTAAGTTGGTCAAGCCTGCGGAGTGAGAGGGCCAGGAATGTATTAGGTTTATTTTGCCCTAGTGTAATATTTGTGCCTAGATCTGCGGAGTGAGTTCAGCTTGATCTGTGAGGATGAGATCTAGAGCCAATCTAGATCGCTCCAGGGCCTCACGGTTGGCAGGCGTGGGAGCCGCCTGGAAAGCTTGATGGGAGCAATCGTAGGCCTGTTCCAGGGAGAGACGTTGTTGTCTTTTGGATTTATTTAAGAAGGATGCTTTGCTAATGCAAAACCCTCGCAATACCGGTTTATGTGCTTCCCATAACAGGAGAGGAGAAATATCAGGCGATTGGTTGAGAGAAAAATAGTCTTTAAGGGCTGCTTCAATTTCTAGACAGTGAGCTGGGTTTGCAAGCAAGTTATCATTAAAAATCCAAGAGGGTTCAGCAGGAGATGGGGCTAGCGAGGTCATGGCCGTGAGTACGGGCGCAATGGTCAGACCAGGGGATTGGAATTATTTCAGAAGTCAGGAGCCGGGAGGTAGAGGCGGAGAATGACTGGTGGGGGTGAGAATCCTGGAAAACTGGTGGGGATGATTGGGCGTTTAGCCGGGCTGAGTTCTCGCCATGTATCTATCAAAGAATAACGGTGTAGTATGGCTTGGAAGGTTTGTTTAGAGGCAGGGACAAGAGATGGTTGAGGGGATTTGTCGAGAAAGGGATATATTACACTGTTAGAATCTCCGCTAACAATTAAAGTTCCGCGTTTATGGTGGTCTATAACCGAGAGTATGTGGGAAAGGAATGGTAAAGGGTCTTGGTTTGGGGCATAGTATGCAACAATGGTGACATCTACGTCTAGGAGTTGCCCAACTAACAGGAGGTAACGACCCTCCGGATCTTTGATTTCGGTACATAGAGTGAAAGGTGTTGTGCGATGAAAGGCAATCAGTACCCCCCTACGTTTGTTAGTGGCAGAGGCTGTATAGACCTGAGGAAATCGGGGGCCAAAAAACTTAGGAGTAGAGTTGGGAGTGAAGTGTGTTTCCTGTAGACAGACCACGTGTGCTTTGAGTGTAGCAAAGGTTCAGAAAGCCTTATTACGCTTCTGTGGAATATTGAGGCCCTGTACATTCAGGGTAAGGATATTTAACGAGCCCATGGGAAAAGTGCATAGTGGTTAGAGTAGCATGTCACTACCTCCGGGGGTGGAGCGTGATGGTTACTGTGAGGGATGAGAACGCTGCGAAGCGTGTTGTGCAGAGTCATGGAGTCACGTTGGAGAAGGGGAGGAGGGGTACGGTATATGAGAGGCAACAGGAAAGAAAGGGTTTAAGAAGAGGCCATTTAACGCCTAGAGGGTGGGTTCCCAAGGACACCCTGAATCAGGGCGGGCTAGGGAACAATAGTAGCCCAAGTGCTATTAAATAACCAATAACACAGGGGCTAGGTTGGAGTGTGCAGGTACACGGACCGTAAGGATGACAGCAGCGAAATTGATAAATGATGGCGAGGTCCCGGTAGAACAGGTGTATGAAAAAAAAAAACACATTAAAGAAAATCATGGTATCCTAGGTTCAGACGGCAGTAGCTGTACTATTGAGATATCATGGGGGAAGGGCTGTGGCATCACTTGCCGTCGAAGCCTAGGCTCCCAAATATAAACTAAACTAGAATGAGAATGAAGCCCGGGGGGGGGGGGGGGGGGGGGGGATGTGGAACAATCCCCAGGTTGTGGCGCAACCAAAATTTACCAGGCAGAGGGAGAAAGAATATCAACAGTGGTAACCACAATGACAGTCAAGAGGGAACACCGTTTGGTGTATGTGGCCAAAAAAAAAGTGAGGGAGAAAGAAGAATAATCGTGGGATATAGTTCAGTCCATGGTATCTTGTGAGGGTAGACCCGGAGACGAAAATCGTCCTCGTTTGTGGAGGTTGAGTGGACTTTCAGTAACACGCGCGGGGTGGGACTTCCGCGGCGAGCAGGATGCAGACCTCCGCTTGGCGCTCTCTGAAGGCATCGCTGGAGAATGTAGTTGCAGGATCCGCAAGGTGTCTAGGAGATCTTTTGGAGTCTTGCAGGTGTAATCTCGGGATTGGTATCGGAATCGCACTGCAAAGGGGAAGCTCCACCTATATTGAATAGCGTGTTGTTGGAGCACTTGTAGGTGAGGTTTCATAGCCATGCGCTTGGAGATAGTTGTGGGGCATAGATCTTGGAATAATTGGTAGGTACGTCCCTGGAACTGTAGAGATTCTGCGTTACGGGCAGCTTGTAGGAGTTGCTCCTTGGGTGCGGAAGAAGTGGAGCTTGGCTATAATGTCACGTGGAGGACCATCTGTGCGTCGTGACGCTAGTGCCCTGTGGACTCTATCCAATTCTAATCTCTCGATTGGGATAGCTGGGCAAGCTCTTGGAACAGAGCTGTAACCGCTGATTGGACATCGACGATCGTTTCCGGAAGGCCACGGATACGCAAGTTTGAGCGCCGTGCCCGGTTTTCAAAGTCCTCCAGTCTTATCAATAATGTAGCGTTTTCATCACGCAGGAGATCCAGGTCATCCGCATGTGTCTGAAGCGAGGCGTCAAGACCATCTACCCTCTGTTCTAGGTCTGCGGTGCGCTGTCCTAGTTCACGGATTTCCCTAGATAGCGTGGCAGTGATGCGGTCTGAGGTTTGCTTCAAAGCTTTGTGCAGCATTTTTTCGAAGCGTGACAACAGATCAGGGGGTGTAAGGTCAGGCGTCAGGGCTTGTGCGGGGACATCAGTTTCAGTGTCAGACTCACCCTCAGACGTGCAGGGATGGCTGGGCTGTGGATCCTGCAGGGCTGCATATGCCCCTGCTGCTTGCTTGCTTCCACGTGTAGGGGCGGTGGCCATCTTTGTGGAGGCCTTTGCCAGGGCCTCCTTTATTGTTTTGGTGGAAGGGGGGACCTGGTGCCGAGGTGCCCCTTTAACCATTGTGTAGTTTGTGGGGGGGGGGGCTGTTGTAGAGATTTCAGCCCCCCTATTCTCCCTCTCCTCTGCCTGGGTGCAGTGTAGGCAGCGGTGGGCGGGCCTATGTGCGGCTCACCATGGGACACGAGTCCCCTGCCAGGAATCCCCGCTCTGCTGCAGGTGATCCGCCGCGAACCAGGGCGGATCAGACCCTGGATGGATTGCCTTGGGGATCGGGTCCCCCCCAGGATATATTGCGGGCCAGGACCCGCTGTTTGAAGGGTGCTGTCACCCGACGGGGAGACGGAGCCTTATCGGGACATGTCCGTCCCGCCGGCCGCCATGAAATGTTTTTCTATATGTATATGATGGAGATCAGTGATCTTTTCAATGAGTACTAATATTTTAAAACCCTTGATTGTATATGTAGCAAGTACAGGATAATAGAAATATGGAGGAGGAGACATGGGGGGGATTTACTAAAATAGGTGCACTCAGAATCTGTACAGACATGCATGGTAGCCAATCAGTTTCTAACTTTAGCTTGTTCAGTTAAGCTTTGACAATAAAACCTGGAAGCAGATTGGTTTTTATGCAGAGCTGCACCAGAGTTTGCACTCTCTATAGTCTCCCTCTATGAGATGCTGAAGTTATGCTGCGCCACTCGCCTCCAGCCAACAAGGGGAGAGTCGAATCAAGCATGTCCATATACTTCTTTGTAGAACGTTTAGACTACTGGAATGCGTAGTCTAAAATAACCACTGTGTTAAGGAACAACTGATTTTCTGAACTACAGTTCACCAAGGAGGGACTTAAGTATTATCATGTGGGAGTTTGGGGAGACACATCTACAGGTCCTTGTCTACAGGGAGGCCAAGTAATTTGGGTTCAGAGCCCTTTACCAGTAGGAGTGTGTGAGCAGGGGCGGACTGACAACTCATGGGGCCCCGGGCAATAGGGGATCATGGGGCCCCTGTGTCCTTGCCCACACTTAAAGCACACCCAAAAAAGCCTATAAAAAGGTGCCAGGGGCATTTCATGGGGCCCCCTACTGACCCATGGCCCTCGGCAATGCCCAAGTGCTCAAATGGTCAGTCCGCCCCTGAGTGTGAGACATCCAGCAGCCTAGCCCGCACCACAGCTTCTTCCTCCATTGCGGCAGGGAGACCCAAGCATTCCCAAGGTCACAGACATCTGTACTCTAACAATATCCATGTAAAGCTGAAAAAGGGCCCCCTTCCATCAAAAGATCTACTGCTTAGCCTTAGGAGTTGGTGAGAGGGTCGCAAGAGCCCATATTTCTTTCTGCCATTATATACAGAGCCACTGCGAACAGGTCACTTTGGCATCAGGATTCTACTACATTGGATCTACCCAGTATTCCTGTTATAAATACCATACTACATCTTCCCCAAAGAACTGAAGCCGCAAGACTATAAAACTGCAACCATAACTAACTCTAGCCACCAAATACCATACTGAAAAATGTTGGTATTTACTGCTGATTCACTGCATGCAAGTTCTTAAGGTGGCTCTTATCAAGTGCACCATCATTCTTAAAGGACCCCAATGATAACCGGCAGAAGAATCATACTAGAGACTGCCACTCCTGTTTATTATTTTCTTCACCCCATTAGTCCTCTTTGTTTATTCTGTCATATCTATATGGTTTTTGCTAATCCTATCAGCTTAAGCCGAACACCCCCCTGTTCAGTTCGCAATCAAACATTCGAACCTACAGAATGTTCAACCACAAACTTCAAACACAAACAATTTACTGAGCGATTATCTTACCGCATCTGAGTATGTGGTACGATACCGCTCAGTTACTAAAATATCACATGAGCTATATTAAAGCATGCGGTATTTTAGTAGTGAAATATTCATTATTCTTTCAGCTGTCAGTGGGGTTCCCCTCTGACAGCTGAATGTAAAAATAATTGTCTGCATTGCCTGACAATTAAAAACCTTTTTTAAACATGACATCCATACCAAGTCAAATTTTGTTTTTAAAATGGCATGGGAATCCCCCCAAAATCCATACCAGACCGGCATGTCAGGAAAGGGGAGGGGATGAGTGAGCGGTCCCCTTCCTTAACCATACCAGGCCACATGTCCTCAACGTGGGGGGTTGCTTTGGGGCAGGGGGGTTCCCCCTCAAAGCACCTTGTCCCCATGTTCATGGGGACAAGAGCCTCTTCCCCACAACCTTGGGCTGTGGTTGTGGAGGTCTGCAGGCGGGGGGGGCTTATCGGAATCTGAAAACCTCCTTTAGCAAGTTGGCCCCCAGATTCCGCTACCCCCTCCGTATGAATGAGTATGCGGTACCGCTACCCATTCACAAAAAAAAAAGTGTAGTGAAAAAAAAAGACAGGAGATAGTCTTTGACGGATCCTTTATTAAAAATACAAGTTAAAAAAAGTCCCCTAAAGAAGAACCAATGTCAATCACGACCCCCCCCCCCCCCCCCGCCCGCTGCTGCTACCTGGAAAAAAAGAAGAAAAAAACACTCACGGTTCACCCTGCCCCTTGTGTGATCCTCTGCTGTGATTGGCCAAAGCATTGCACCTGACCTGTGGTTAGGTGCATTGCTTTGACCAATCACAATGCACTATCAGGGCACAGTGCATTGTGGGGCACAGCAGGCGAACAGCCCACTGAACACTAGTATCGTTTGTGTGAACACACAAACGGTCAACATTGTAGTCGAACTTAGCTTTGACTCGAACATTCAGCCCAACACTAAAGCCTAGCATAGCTGCCATCAGTGCATGTCCATCAGTATAGACCAGTGCTTCTCAATTATTTTCTGTCATGCCCCCACTAGGAAGAAAACATTTTGCGCCCCCCTGCGCGATTGTAAATAGTATCATTTGTCTATAAAATTGTTATAAGTAGGAATAGTGCCCCATCGTTGGTGTCAGTGGGAGGAATAGTGCCCCATCATTGGTATCAGTGGGAGGAATAGTGCCCCATCGTTGGTGTCAGTGGGAGGAATAGTGCCCCATCGTTGGTGTCAGTGGGAGGAATAGTGCCCCATCATTGGTATCAGTGGGAGGAATAGTGCCCCATCGTTGGTGTCAGTGGGAGGAACAGTGCCCCATCGTTGGTGTCAGTGGGAGGAACAGTGCCCCATCGTTGGTGTCAGTGGGAGGAACAGTGCCCCATCATTGGTGTCAGTGGGAGGAATAGTACCCCATCATTGGTATCAGTGGGAGGAATAGTGCCCCATCGTTGGTGTCAGTGGGAGGAATAATGCCCCATCATTAGTATCAGTGGGAGGAATAGTGCCCCGTCGTTGGTATCAGTGGGAGGAATAGTGCCCCGTCGTTGGTGTCAGTGGGAGGAACAGTGCCCCATCTTTGGTGTCAGTGGGAGGAATAGTGCCCCATCTTTGGTGTCAGTGGGAGGAATAGTGCCCCATCGTTGGTATCAGTGGGAGGAATAGTGCCCCATCGTTGGTATCAGTGGGAGGAATAGTGCCCCATCGTTGGTATCAGTGGGAGGAATAGTGCCCCATCGTTGGTGTCAGTGGGAGGAATAATGCCCCATCGTTGGTGTCAGTGGGAGGAATAGTGCCCCATCGTTGGTGTCAGTGGGAGGAATAGTGCCCCATCATTGGTATCAGTGGGAGGAATAGTGCCCCATCGTTGGTGTCAGTGGGAGGAACAGTGCCCCATCTTTGGTGTCAGTGGGAGGAATAGTGCCCCATCGTTGGTGTCAGTGTGAGGAATAGTGCCCCATCATTGGTGTCAGTGGGAGGAATAATGCCCCATCATTAGTATCAGTGACACCAATGATGCGGCACTATTCCTCCCACTGACACCAATGACACTTGCTGATCCCTGTTGCAGTATGGTGCTGCTGCAGCCAGCATATGTGGTTGCAGCAGCACCTCTGCACTGCACACTTACCGGCTTTTTCCCTCACTCGATTTTCGCGGGGTCCGCTCGGCTCCGCCTCCTCGCCCGTGATTGGCCACCTGTGTACCTTTCCTGAGCTACAGTTCTGGCGGCCAATCACCGGTGAGGAGGCGGAGTGGCCGGAGTGACGGAAGGAGCAGCGCTTCCTGGATGGATCCAGGTAAGAGACAGCAGCCCTCTGCCCACCCCTGTACTTAGTGTCCCTTCTGTCGGAAGGGGGAGGGGCGGCGGCGGCACCGCGCCCCCCTTGACGGGGCCTCGCACCCCCCCTGGGGGGCGCGCCCCACTATTTGAGAAGCACTGGTATAGACTTATCCTTTGTTAGTCCACATTTCTCCCTGCTTACGGCTGTACTTCTGGTGGCTTTGTTACTGTTTAACCCCCCCTCCCTATCCTTCTCCTCCTTCGAGGCCCACTGCGTCAGACTATTCTCCCCAACCCCCCTGAAGATTGCTGTGATATACCGGCCTCCTGGATCCATACCCCGCTTCCTGGATGACTTTTCCTCCTGGCTACCCTTCTTCCTCTCCTCTGATCTACCCACCATCATCCTTGGGGATTTCAACATCCCTGTCAACCTCGACAACCCGGACACATCCCATCTCCTCCACTTAACCTCCTCCTTTGCACTTGCACAGTGCATACAATCCACCACCCACTCCAACGGTAGTATCCTTGATCTCGTCTTCTCCAACCGCTGCGCTCCCCACAACCTCGCTAACACCCACTTCCCTCTCTCTGACCACAACCTGATTACCTTCTCTATCTCCTCGTCCTCCAACGCCTACCCCCCCAAATGTCACACTACTACCAGCCGTAATCTCCGCAACCTTAACCCTGCCCCCCTCCACTCTGCAGCTGATCAACTCCATGACCGCATTCTCCCCCTGTCCTGCCCCGACTTGGCCATGACTTCCTACAACAATGCGCTGTCAGCAGCCCTTGACTCACTAGAACCTTTAACCACACACAACATCAGACCCCGACCACTCCAGCCCTGGCAGACTGATCACACCAAAACCCTCAAACGACACAGTCGTGCCCTGGAGCGACTATGGCGCAAAACAAAATCCCAACAAGCCTTCACCCGCTACAAATCTGCCTTCCACACCTACACCTCCTCCCTCCACGCAGCCAAACAAGCCTACTTCCTGACCCTCATCAAGACCCTCTCCTCCGATCCTCGCCGACTCTTCTCCACCTTCAACTCTCTACTCTCTCCACCCCCCACCTCCACCCAGCACCTCACTCACCGCCCTTGAGATTGCCAATCACTTCAAAAACAAGATTGACACAATTCGCAAGGACATCGCCGCAACTCACACACCCTCTCAACCCGTCCCCTCTCATACAGCTACCCCCTCATCTCTCCTCCCCCGCGACATAACCCGCAGGGACTTCATCGCTGCTCAAACTCCCTCCAACCCCGTTCCCCCTCCATCAGCTACCCCCTCATCAACCCTCTCCCACAGCCCCACCACTGCTCTGACCTCCACTTCCACCCCACCCTACATTCCTCATACTGAAGCTCCCCCAACACTCCACACCTTTGACCTTACCACCATCGAGGAAGTCTCCAAGATCCTCTCTGATGCCCGCCTCACCACCTGCCCCCTTGACCCTATGCCCTCACAACTCCTACGACCTCCCTCCCCCTCCATCCTATGCTCCCTCACCCACATCTTCAATCTCTCTCTCTCCTCCGGCACTTTCCCCTCCCCTCTGAAACATGCACACATCACCCCCATACTTAAAAAGCCATCCCTGGACCCCAATAACCCGAACAACCTCAGACCCATCTCCCTGCTCCCATTTACATCTAAATTCCTCGAGCGCCTTGTCTACACCCGCCTATGCTCTCACCTCAACGACAACCACCTCCTCGATCCCCTACAGTCTGTCTTCCGTCCCCTACACTCCACCGAAACCGCCTTACTCA